ATACTCTCAAGCGCAACTCCTTCGTATACCAAAATGCTGCCGTCAACTGAGGCGGGCACACTTTGCCAATGGAAAAATCATTATTTCAGATGACGAAAAGTATTTCACTTTGAGTAATTCTGAAATGAAGGGAAACGACAGATTTGATACGGACAAGTATTGAGTTGTAATTCATGATAACTAGTTACTGTTTAAATAAATTTCTTCATTAAAAAAATCTGATAAATATTTTGTGTCAAAACTTTTAGGACATTATGCTACCACCTTCGACAACCATGGCTCCACCTTTTGTAGTCATCTCATCATTTCGTGCTGTCCTCCATTTCTGGAATCGTCGAAAATTTTATGACACTTATTTTAAGTTACTCATTTTTCCTCACCGTTCACTTTATAATTTGGGCACTAATTACCAAAATTAACTCAAATTTTGCGAAAGGTTAGAACAAATACCGCTATTTGACATACTATGCTTGTGCATTTCAATCTTTTTTTTTTACGGCTTGGCAGATTTATTTTTTAGTGTCCCTCGTAGCTTACTACAGTACCGTATCGTTTCAGGATAAGACGCAAGATCAGCTCATTTGCACGGCGTGCTAAGTTTACCAATGACCATGTTTACACCGTGACCGCTAAAGCCGCTCTAAGCCTTTGTATAGTGCATAACGTACGGTGCACGAACTAGTGTTGCCTCATATCTTAGCACAGAGTGGTATCAGTGCATACAATAATATCACACAATAAGTAACAATGAAGTGTCAAATGCCTCACTGAAAGCGCATTGTAACTTTTCAGTGTTTCACCAACAAGACACAACTCAGTGCTGCCAATTATGAATAAAGTCGACACCAGAGCTGCCCAAGTATTAGAGAAAAAAATGAGCCACTGTCAATAATGAACCAGTATTATGAAGCCGTTACAGATTCAAATATTTATTTATGGAGTTGTACGTTACTTCTGCGAAATAAAGTAGTACTATTTTTTAGTCGAAAATATATTCCATGTTCATGTTAATATAGCAACTAATACTTTGATGATCCTAAGAAGAACAGTTTTGTCCGCTCCGATAATTCCAAAATACAGGATGACGAAATCATTTTGGAGGTTAGTCTTTCGTAACAACCTTTTAAACCACCAGGCTTTAATCCATTTATACTAATCACTTAATGTTGAGGTCGGCTGAGTTTCAATGTGCAGGAGAGAGAAACGTAAACACGCATGTTATAAAACGTTAGAAATAGGGCTCCGAGACGTTTCTCGCCGTCGTTGCCAAGCAACCTGGTGATTACTTGTGGGCGCACCCTTTCTCACTTTTCGTAACATACGCACGCTTCTCTCGCTTCTCTCTCTCTCGTATACATTGAAACCCGTCCGACCTCAACCGTAAATGATTCACAAGGTACATCACCTTTCAAGACTTACATTCAACTGGGATTTTCAGGTTTTTAAAGTTGAACCGTTGATTGCGTTATGTTTAGACACGGCTCAAAAGAATTAAGACTCAATTGTTTAGTGGTGATATGGGGTATATGAGCACGATGTATTACATACGTGTGGACGTTATCGCAGGCACGGTAATTGAGATTTTCTAGGTCAGATACATCGACAAACCAGCGTGTATGTTTATGACCATTTATGCTCTCCCGCACATGTTGAACGTTTCTGTGCATTTTAGAACACGTAAATATTTATTATCGAGATATTTCAATTTTAAACACGTTTATGTTTAGTAAATGTTTGCAGATAATTCAGTTCATGTACGTATATTTGATTGCTGTACTGGGCTTTTTATTGCATGTTCAATTTTAAATTGGTTCAGTATTAAGATCACAGAGACTAAATAGCCAACTAGAAACTAGATCTGTTCGTTGGGTATACGATGACAGTGCCACCTAGCGAAACAGAAATATCGAACAATTTGAATTTCAAACTGAGAAGTCTCTCAATTGCCAGGCCTGAGTTGACCTCACATGACACACACTTCATCAAAGAGACCACCACCAGCCGACGACGATTTAGCTTCCCCACTATGCACTACGCTCCTGGCAAATAATACGGTAAAAATTTGAGTTACCAACATAGCAAACTGGATCCATTTATAGGTGCAAGGTATAAGGAAACTACCCTCCGAGAAGGAAATGACGGCAATAGAAAACTGAAAAGTGTATTGATTCACTGTAAAACAGTATAAAACAGATATGGGATCTCTAAAGATCTATCAAATTTCGAGAGCATTTTGCTACACTATGCTGAAAATAACTCGTCCTCATTATGAGTTCAGCCAATCAATTCAGGGATGTTGTTCTTTTATCCTTATTAATTTATTTATTTATCGTCAGCTAAATTTGAACCTCACCCTATAAAACTATTAAAAATACACGGAAAAATATAAAATAACTCAATGTACAAAAGATCGGTGCGTTCGAGAAGAAATCAATATACACTAATTTCAATCTCAGTTTATATAGTAATTTTATTTTGATTCATCCAGTATGTTGCTTTTTACCGCACGGGAAGTGGAAAACATCAAGGATTCTTATTGACGTGAGCAGTACATTATGACTATACCGGATGTTTCAAACTCGACTCTCACCATTCGGAGTGTTTCTGGAAATATCGTTCTTATTTATTCTTAACTTTATTTAAGATGGGGTTTTAAAATAAAAAGAACTTTAACATAAGAATTATAGTACTATATCAGGATTTAACTCTTGACCTTAATCATCAACTTTATTTTTTCTTATGGATTTTTACACAGTTGAATACAGTTTTTAATTATATTCCAAATATGTCATACACTGACATTGTCAAAACTTAGTTATTTCAAGAAAATAGAATATCAAAGTTTTTTCGAAATACTGGCAGCATTTTCATAGGAGTAAGATTCAGTGTGAAACTGCCAAATGAAGTAAATCAGGCATTGTCTAAATTTACGAAAAATCTTTTCAACCTTTCAAATATCACTGGGCAACTCTCATTTAAGAATCATGTCCGTTACGCTTAGGGTCTTAAATATGTCTGAAATTTTTACGTAATAAGATGTAATTTTTAAACCTGACATGTACTAGGATTTACTGCATGTACTGTGCTATCGAAAAAGTGTTTGACTTGTATCTTTGAAATAAAAGGTCTTTGCGAGAAGCACCAAGTGATTACCTTAGAGTATCGAATATTGCCCCATGTTAGGATATAGTATAAACTAAAAAATACAGCGTTGTGGTAGCATCTGTTTAGTTAGGTTATTATTTAATTGGATTTCAGATTGCTGTATTCACTGACTCTGTGTGGCTATGGATTTCTGGGGAAATTGCAATTACACACTGCACATACATATACACCAACCAACAATATCACAAAACGTACAGCAACTTTAATTACAAAAGGAACGATTGTATATTTCAGGGCTGCGTTAAATTTTGAATTTAATACCGACCGTGGCAGATTTATGGCAACACCGCCGACCAAAATGACATTTTAATTTAGATTTTGATGGTCAGAACGGGCGTTATTTAAAGCTATGTGCCTGGATATTCTCGATAAACCATTTTGATGGTGTTTTGCGGTGTCTTATTTCGATAAAAGGTTTTGTTATTAATTTCGCAATAGGAAGAAGATGGAGTTGGCTAATCCATCGACTACATTCCATCTCACATTTTGATCAGTATCATTTTTATACAGGGTGTCTGCGATAGGTTGGGAAATCTCGAAATTGGAGATACTACAGACCAAAATATGTGAATTGACCTAAACATACCTTAGTTCAAAAGTTGATAGTTTGCGAGATAAAGGGTGCCAAAGTTAAATTTTATATCCCATTTTTCCTTATTGCTTGAGAAGTATTTCGGATTTTGGCATAAAACTTGGTATAGGGAGGTTTTCTAGTATGAGAAACAAGAATCCGTTATTTTTTATGGCCAAACTTCTAGAGGGCGCCACTTACAGCACTATTTCGGTAAATAACTTATAACTTTTTTGCGCTACCCTGTATACAACAACTGTTTACATGTTAGAAGTGTCTAAAGCTAATAGTTTTCGAGATATGTATTTGTTTTTAAAAGTTCCAATGCATTATTTGTACCATGACGATAAACCATTTTTAAAACATAATAACCAAATTGCTTTGGAAAATATCTGAGTAGCGGTGCTATGGTTTCTAATGTTTGTCATAATATTGCTTTAAACTTCATGAATAATTTTAAGTTGAGAATAAATTGTTAAACATCATGGAGTATATATAGTATAGGCATTTAATGTACAGATTGGCAAGATGTAATGCTTTAAAAGCACGAAGATTGTAGCTGACAGATTCCCTAATAGACACCTGCCTAAGTCAAAGACTTTCCAACGAATCGATCAGCGGTTACGAGAAACTGGTAACAAATGATTATAGCCTTATTTATATTTCTCAAATCTTAAGCTATAGTCGAAGATGACACCAAGATTTTTTACTTGTTCCACAATAGGAACGAGCTCATTATTGATGGTTAATGCAATCCCGTCCCTTACTCTTTTATACAAAAAACAAAATGCAAATACAAAAAAGCATGCATGTGCTCTTATCAGGATTAATCTTCGACATCTGTCTCTTACAAAAATCTGTTATATTGGCAAGATGGTAATTTACTTTATATGACACTTGATCTCGATTAGAAAAGTCAAAGTGAAATGAAATCCACTTAAGTTAGCGCAATGTTCATTACATGAATGTAAATCGGAAGTATATATTAAATACAGAAAATGAACTAAAACAGCCCCTGATGGACACCTGAAAAAACAGCCACAGAAGATGAAAAACCTCTGTCTTCACCTTTTTTTACGATTAGTTAAGTAGGCTCCTACAAAGACGATAACATATTTTTGTACTATACCTCAGAAATCATTGCAGGTTTGGTGCCAACTATTTTAGAAATAACCCAAAGGAGTAAGTATCAGTCAAAGCTTTCGTCGGGTCGGTATCTCCAGAGTGCTAACAAGAGCAGTTAACTTTGATGGTATTAGTAATATTACCTTAGAAAGCAGCCTTGGCTACTTGGAGAAGAAGTCGAACCCTGTAAAAGTGGCATCGGCGTTGGGGTGCCTCGCCATCGCCCCCGAGGGGGACTGCTGGAAGCCTCCAGTGGCGTGCGAAGCCTGCTGCTGTTGAGAGGTCCTCCAAGACGCTGGAGGAGGCGGCCTGTGTTATTCGCCAGCGCCGGCGCCGGCGGTCAAGCCTGGCCAAGGCCATGGGCTCCCCACTCCACCGTAAGCACCCATTCCGGGGATAGGGTAGCCTTTGCTGCCTTGCTGCCCTTGTTGGCTGGAAATTAAAATAATCAGTCAATGGCAAGTCCAAGCGTCCAAGCTACTTTAAGAGCTTCAACCTAAGAGGCCAATCCAAATCTAAAAGGGATATGGGAGAGATCTGCGGGTGCATCTAAACACAATTTTAAATTGAATTTCTTTTCTAAAGAATTAGCAGTAAACATATGATAACTACCATTATTTTCTTCTTTTTCTGATATTTTTCTATTATTTTTGTAAAAAATAGTCAAGTACGTAACTCTGTCATCAGTTCATGAAGGATTATTATTATATGAGAAAAGTTAACTACGAACACAGAAAATAATTAAATATATCAAGTGAGGCAAACAGAACCATACAATTAGTCCATCTAATAACGACCTAGATCTAAAAACTTCTTCACCGCCCTTACTAAAAGTATCGAGCATCACTCCAAAATGATCAGAAGCCTCTGAAACGTCAAAAACGAAGTTTGAGCGAATTTTATTTTTTTCGTTTTGCTCCGCCGCTACTGAACCGATTTTCAAACTCTACGAAGCTTTTTCATTGATAATAGTAACCCCGTGTGCTAATTTCATCAAAATCTGAGCAGTACAACTAAGTTATAGACGGGCCAAGGATTTGCGGACAGACCGACAGACAGGTAAACAAAAAACACACAGTAAGCGTGGTAAGAAAATATAGTACTTTAAAGCTATATATATATATATATATATACAGGTATATATATAACTTATTTGTTAATTTATGAGGTATTTGCAGTTTAGATATGTTATTCAGGATTATTTAGGACAAGAAATGGTCTGCTCTTTGTATAATTTCAATATACAACAATAGATTTTAGCATACCTATTCATAGCCAGACTTATCCATATTCATTGAAAAGCGGTTGGTTAGGTTATACTTTTATTCCGGGTTTCTACGACCAATAAACTGTTTTTATTTCCAAATTATTTCACAATTCTGCAGCACGTTTGAGAATACCAGTCTTATTAAAATTCAGATTTTCTCTCAGTTTCAGGATTTGGTCTCCTGGGTAATAGATCAGTTTTCTAGATCCCTGCTTAGATGTGAGCATTGTCCACTTTCCGGACCTTTCAAACTCTTTCGGACTTGTTCAAATCAACCACAGAATATTGATAGAAATATATTTGAATTTGTGGTCTTTCTTCATCGGAACAGCCACTAAAACCAAGTTTGAACGCTAGTGAACCATGACTGCTGAGACAATGTTAATGGGCAGGTCAAGATTATGCAAATGTTCTCGTTCCACACTCTAGATTCCTTTGCATCTAGAAGTCATCATATTAATTAAACTGTTTCAATTTTACATTGGGATAGCGGTGAAATGCGAAAGGTCATCCGCTCTATTCTGAACTACACCAAATATGGATAGTGAAGTTGGGTTGGTTTTTCCCAGTTCTACTCACCTCAAAAATCGGATTAACAGGATGTTTCTGACCTACTCATAGCAGTTGCGGTGCCCCGGTGTTTAGGCTTTTACTTGCGCGGCTTGCTCCAATATAAAAAAACTCTGTACCAATTGAACTGGGGACGCCAGAAGCCACTATATTTCTACAACGCTAGATGCCGGAAATCTAGGTTTACTCTGATTGAAAAGTAATGAATTGATGTGCAGCAGAAACATTGCAGGCAAAACGCATACTAGTGGAACATCCGCATAGTGTTGTTTGACAAAAAAATTAAACCAAGTACGCTGAATATTTCATGACCTGAGAGGAAGCTTGCATCATATCTGCAAAACGTAGAACGGTGAAGCAGTCATAGTTAGTCATCTCCAAGTGTAGCTTGAGGCATATTTCATGAAAGTCAGCCAAGGTTTTACCATTTGATGTTAGATCTTCGTGCATTTCTGGATTACTTTACTGATTAATTAAACTCAGTGCATTCAAATAACACAGCACCACACCACTACAAACTGCAATCTGTATCCCAGTTCGCTTTGTTAGCCGGGTAACGTAATATAGCTTTCTTTCTTCCGACCACAGATGGCCAACCATGGACAGCTGTTTCGGGCTATTTGGCAACTCCTTAGCAGAGGAGTTTACTAGATATCTGGAACTGTCAAATCCAACTAAATGATGTGCTTATGGGAATACTGAGGTGACCTGCTCCACTGTAAATGAACGTTTGGGACTGTCAGAAATCATTGCTGGAAATAACCTAACGCGATATCTTAAAAATTTGCATACGAGCGTCGCTTCTTCGCCAGTCATCATCGTACTGAGATTTATCTTCAGAGCGCTTTAAATGAATGATTTAAAGTCGAAAGTATTTCATTATGCTAGTCAGAATGCAATAAAAAAGAAGAAAAAATTTGTTGCTGAATAAATTTCCGATGAAGTATTCACGGGGACGATTTGCTACAACTGAATTAACATCGAAATTAAAACAGAAAAACGGATGAAAGAAAAAACAGCTACGCTGGTGCTGTTAAGCTAGAGTATTTTTTCCATTTGAATTTAGATTGCAGTTTAGGAAAGAGGGGTGGCCGCGATAGAATCTAAATGGATTTTGAATAGGCGCCGTCAGCCATTATGCACAGCAAATTCCGAACGACCACGACGAATCGTAATTATGAGAGAAAAATTTGAATAATGCACCGGCACTCACGCTGGCGTGCTCACATAGCACACATTCTGTTTTTGTTAGGAGTGGGTGACAGGCAGTGTAGTGTAAAGGGAGAGCAAAAGTGGATCAACTACTTGAAATCCCTTTTTCTTCCCACACCACAGTGCGAGGTAGTATTGTAATCGCGAAAAGTTTCGAAAATTGGACATAATCGTTTTTGAATGTTATATGACATGTACAGCACGAAAAACAATGTCACTCATTTCCATCGGTCTGTCTGTCCGGTAATCCTGGGATCGCCTATCACTTGGAGAGTACACTATGATTTGGATGAAACTTTCACACAAGGCCACTACTATAGCAAAGACGAAAAAGCTTTATAGTTTTCGAAAATCGCTCGAGTTGCGGCGGAGCTAGTAGGAATAACATGAAAAAAATTAAATCCGCTTCTGTTTCAGAGGCTCCTGGTAATTTTCAGAAAAAAAATGGTTGGTGTTGAAATTAGGCAGTAGGGGCACGTAGGGGGTGAGAGAAGATATATGACAGTTTTTTCATGTTAGCATATTTATACGCTGCCATCCCCGGTAATTCTATGCAGCTGTGAGCCATATTTCACACATCATAGATGACCCCGTCACTTTAAAACTTGATAGAGACATGTTATCCATCCGCGTACTCTGCTATCTAAGCTCTCCTCTCGGCTGACTAATCTATCCGTACTGCAGCGCATAAAACATATTCAAGGAATGAACGATAACTATCTGCAGCGGTGTCGCGGTGGGCACAGCCGCACAGTTGTGGAAAGGGATAACGTTGCCAGATGGACAGTAAATACCGGTAGGGCAGAGAAAGAATGTGTATGGACTAAGTATATGGGCCTGTTGTACTGACTTGATCCTTTATTAACTGAGCACGGCGTTACGAAAGAAGTGGAGAGTCAACCCGCTTGACACCATTTTTACGAGTACTTCCCAAGCATTCGAAACATCTTCAAGTACAATTTTCCATGTAGTTCAATGACATCAAAAAGACTTAGGCCCAATTTCACCAACAACAGTCCGTTATTCTCCATCTATAGGGTAACAGACCGTCAGATACAGCGAATGAGCTTCAAGTTCCAATCAACAAATTTTAGCAACCAATAGCTATGAAATAATGAAAACAAAATACTGTCACAGTCTGAGATGACAACTTGTCATTGAAACATTACTAGCTTATTGAATATTAAGAAATTACATATAATTCAGTCAAAATTTTAAGAAATGTTTGATTTTTGAATTAAATTCATGTTTTAATTACTATTGTTGATTTTTTATTCATGTTTATATTATTTTCTTCAATTCATATGTGATACTGGGTGTTTTTTCCTATAAACCTCTTGCAGATAGCCATTAAGCACCTACTTGATGACAGGCTCTACCAAAAGATATTGCTCGTTTCCAAACATTCATTCATTTACTTGCCGTTCATCAGAACCATTATGGCACCTTAGATTGATATTCCCACAAAACCATTCAGGCTTTTTATATCCATACATCCATAAAGTCGAATATTTTTTGTTGTTTAGGGACTGAACAAACATCCACACTATATTCACAGCGATTAAGAAATTCCCAAATATATGCCTTAAAGCTACCAGCAAACCTATAAAACCTGCAAAAAAAACTACAAATTTGCCATATTTTTCTTTTTTCACGAGCACACATTCTAAGTTATATTTATATTAGACATTATTTGAATACAGCTGACTATTGTATTTCAAGGAGTGACACATGTGTGGGATCTGTCAATTCCATGCTATTCAATGACAACACGGTGACTTGTGTGGTCATTAGCGGGCATTTTGTGAGGGTGCGACAGGGTTGCCAGATTGTGCTTTAATATCCCGTTTCACCCTCCTGGTCCCAGTAGTAAGTTCCGCCAACTGTTGAAATATACTCTGCTATGCTTTGTAAGATTATTCGTGACATGTTTCCCAATATAGCTCCGTCGGTACCTTGGGTTATACATCTTGACAGTAGGGATGTTCGATACGTTCCTATATTTAGAAGTATCAATACATTTCACGAGTATCGTCATTTTTCGATCCGGACTGTGTCATAAAGAGTGACTGAAATTTGGCTGCGACATTACCCTGCCAAATCAGACATATGTTTCATCTTTTGCAAAGACATTGTACAAAATCTTCAAATTTGTGAAGTTAGCGAGTTTCACTTCATACGTTGTTCCCAGACATGCCCAAATCATCAGTTGCTGCCGTGATATTCATCCCGGCCACTGCATCCCCACGGCTAGGCGACCTGTATGTTAAATTTGTATTGATAGAGCAGCGGGTTATGCTATAAATCATATGTCACAGTGTTTGTGCACTGATTGCAACGGTTAGATGATACCAAAAATATTTTCATAAATAGGAGATCTTTC